CAATTACTTTCGATAACAAAACTTTGTGTTTTGAAACTGGTTTCAAGGAGTCAAAAAAAACTTCGTGTTAATTAAACAGAAACAATTTTTTGTAACTTTAAACGAAATACGTGTTTTACGGTAATTAATAGAAGTAAATTGATTATTCAAAACATTACATAAGCGTTCGAGGTGTGCACTTTTGGACATTTCAAATTTTTATTTTTTCACACTCAATTTACAACTTATTCGTAACATTTATTCAAATTTGAAATAAAATTTTATTCTTTAATTAAATTCGTCCGCATATAATTTGGTTGTATCTATAAATTGCAACTTTTTCAATCTTCAATCATCAGATAAAAGTTATGCACAGAATTAAAAACAACATAACTTAAGAATTACATTGAATAAAAGTTACACCTATATACGTCTAACAGCTGGGCTCAAACCTGCTCTCATTTCTGAGAGGGGGTTTTGGGGCATAGAAATGTCCGCCGCGCTGCCACAATATTATTTTCTTATTTCGCAGACATCGACAGACGTAGTAGGCTTCCTCGTGGTGTAAAGGAAATCCTCAATTTTAAATCAATTAAAAATTTCATTGGTGTCTGAGGAGGGGGGGGGGTCGAACCCGGTTGGTTGCTCGCGTTCTACGAAATGTACAGTGAGCGCTCAGCCCCTGAGCTAGCACGGCATTGCATGAATAAAATGGTTTCATTATTTAACTTGTAGATTCTGTCAGGTTTTAATTTATTTCATAGATATCTTTTATCTGAATATTAAAGAATCAGCCTCTAAATTGCATAATAACATTGATTTTTGCAAAATTAATATGTGTAACAAAGAGTATATAATCACTAAATTTTAGTATATGCTATATATTGTCGTTTTTCTTAGTAACTGTCTTCTTTTTACTGTCTTCCTCTTATCTCAAATAGCGTTTTGGAGTTGAGACAACTTCGTCGTGTTGCCCCAAGACATATTTGCGAACTTCACATTTACGCAACTTTATTTCTTTAACATCGGTTTCCACACTGTTTTACTTAACCCATTTATGATTGCTGTACTCAATTGAGTACAAGCAAATTTTTATAAATATACCGAAAACAAAAAAATAACAATTTCTTTTGATTGAATTCAACTGAAGGTGATATTACTTTCTTGAGTAATACAATAAAAAGCGGATAATTTTAAATTTGTGTCACTTTTATTCACTTATAAATATAATGCAGGTAAGAATTTTTCACAATTATTATTTGTTTTGTTCAGTAAGCAAATGTTGTATTTACTGGTAAATGGTAGGTATCAGGTATATTCTTGTTTATAATAAAACTAATCATTCAGCAACAAATTGCTTACATTTACTGACTTTTACGATAATTTCTGCAACTGTATTCAATCGAGGACAATGGTCACATTGATATATAAAAATTTATTATTTTTCAGTCAAAGAATCGGAGTTACGGCAAATAGTTAGTCTGGGCTTTTGAAAGACAGTGATAGTAAGTAATGGCGAAAATGATTTGACGAGTATACCACCTGTTCATAGCGCCGTCACTGGTGAAGATGAAAAACTCATAAATTACCACAAAATATACCCCGGTATTTTTTCAGAAATAATCCATATCAATATCCTAAATAAAAAAATACTAAGGTCCTATTGCGGAAAATCACGGGTCTAAGGTTGTAATGCTGTTACTTCGAAAACTAGATACCGTTTCATCAAACGATTATATACATTTGATAATACACAGTCTTTTAGTTAATTTATGGAATTCAGGATACAGGTACAGTTCGTGAGAATCACACAAAAAAAATTCTCTAGTAAATACAAAGAAGAAAGATAGAGCTGCGGTTAATCACAGGATTGATAAAACCAATGAACTGCTAATGGTAAGATGGAAAGATAACAGCGTTCTTACCATGGCAGCTAACTACGACACTACCGAACTCATGGGACTTATGAAGCAATGGTGCCCAATGAAAAAAGAAAAGACCGACGTAATGATTCCACTGTTAATTCAAAACTATAGAGGTATGGGTGGAGTTCATGTGGTGGGTGTTAGTTACGTACATGATGAATATGACTGTTTCAAATATCTGGCGCCTGTATGTGTTCAGCAAAGTCCTACGGATCTACTTTTGTTCCCGCGCAGCGTTGCTCGATACTACTTACGACAGACAGGTAATGCGAAAAAGGGCCGCTCTTAGTCGTTAGTCGAGGGTTTGCCCCAAGATGGCTGCAGCGCTCTCCAAAAAAACTGAGAAACTGCTACGGTGTGTAATTTGTTACTCAAGGGAAAATGGGAGTGTAAGAAAAGTATAAAGACCCTTTGCCTCGAAAAATTTCACCTCTAAGTGACCAGTGTACTCAAACAAGTAAAAACCCAAAAATGCTTCAAAAAAATAATTTTTTATAGTATTTTTCCGTAACGTGTTTTATATTCCTAGCATTAAAAAAAATAAACAATTTAAGACATTAAAGTTTTTCATTTGGCTGTTAATGGGTTAATTATCACGTACGTGATAAATCATAACTTAAAAATGCAATTAGTACATAACAATTTCATTAATATTGGGGATCAATTCAGATTTTCTCACGTACTCACTTTACGTTTCTAACTTTGAAATTTAAAGCAAATGCTTAATTGCAAATCTACCAATACTTTATTACATTGTTTCTATATACAGTGCAACATTAATATAACGTACCTCAATATAACGACTTCCTCGATTTAACAAATTCTTCGTAATCCCCTTGAATTGTCCATAAGAGTCAATGTAAAATATACCTTTACATTGCGAACATTTCTTGCGAACAACCTCTTTATAACGAATTCTAACTATCAAGAAAAAGTGTAAATACCTCTAATTAACTTATTTTGTTAACCCAAGACCTTTATATAAAGTTTATTAGTAGAAGTTGTGAATAAAATTATTTTTTTTTACCTCTTATAATTTGACCAACCTAACCTCAACATAACAAACCTCAGCTCAACAAATTACTTGATATAACGAATTTTTACTAATTCCCTTCCGTTTTGTTATATAGAGGTTGCACTGTAAATAGTTTTAAATTTATTACCGTTAATCCATAATTTATGGCCATTAACACTATAGATAATTAATTGAAATATGTAAAAAAGAAATATAAACCGAATTCAATGGCAGTCGGATTAGAATTTTCTCAGGGATAACTGTGAGTATACTACAGCAGTGATTGTAAACCTTTTTGAAAAGTTGATTAATTTCATTGTTTTTAGGAAAAGTATGTGAGTCACTAATTTAGTAGCGTCAATTGGATGGATGGAGGGGAGGATGGTTAAACACCGTGGGTTTTTTTTTTCCATGAATTACTGCACCAGGTGACAACATGCCCAGTTTAGGCAGTCCTGTCTCCCCTGCACTGAATATTTGAATGAACAAGGAACAAAGATATAGAGGTATGTCTTTGTATAAAAAAAGTATAAGAAAATCAGTGAGCTAATTTCCACAATATTTTTTTCATAAATTAACAATGGATATACTGACTTCACTTTTTATATTTTTGAATGTCTGTTCTCTTTAATGACACAAAAATATATATATATAAAGCAATGTGTGAGTTACTTAAACTTTGGGTTCGTTCAATCACTGCTCTATAGGCACAAGTAAAAAATACAAAATACACAAGTTAATTGAGTAATTAAAACAGAATCAAATTAATATACGGGATCATTTGCAGTCAGTCAAAACTGTAAGTGATTATTAAATTATTTAAATTTCATTAATTGCTAGTTCATTAAGTTTTTACGGTCCCATTATAAATACGATGTAATATAATATTATACTGTTTAATGTAATTAACACAATTATTTAAATTTATTTTCATAGTAAAATATCATATTTAGTATATTACTCGTCCGGACATTTTATCATATTACCTATATTATGTAAATGCATACTGTTAATGTTATCCAGAGTTCATAATTCATTTTCAAGAAATATTTAATTTAATAGACCGATAAAGTATGAAGAAATAATCGCGATGTGTTAAACCACCCGATGCTTTAATAAAATTATTATGCATGCATATATATATATCAAATACTAATATATATTAACGTGTTATCCAAAGTTTAGATTTTTGCGCTAATATTTGCCTAGAAATGGCTTTTTGAGCCAAAAAAACATCATTGTCATCAGCTAAAATAAGTATTATGTCTCATTATTTATTATGACATTACAAAGTGACGTGCAACGTTTATTTTATGACGTGTAATACGGTAATTGAAGACATTGAGACTGATATTTTTCACCAAAATTTTGATTTACATGCACTACACAATAATTATTTACTAGCATATTACTATATTACCAGCTTATGTAAGAAATAATTATTTCACATCTGTTTATTACTGCAAGTGAATATTTTGACAGATGTCATACGAAAAATGACAATGCTATACACATTCGATGTTGTAGTCGCGTTCGAATAATAAAGAAGTCTATAATTAGATTGTTTCTTGATTGATCGTCCGAACGACTGAGATGCAACAAACGCTCGGCATAGCGGGTCAATGTCGAGCAATAGATTTACATACAGCGATACGAAGCGTCCGCCTCACGACTTCAAATTGGGCCAAATAGTCATTTAATATGTGCTAGAGAATATTTCAACAATTACAATTCATCGTATGTATCCAAAATACAATCAGAAATACAGGTACAAAAATCACAGCTACGTCTTTACTTGATGATAGTATTGTTATAAATAGCGAAAAAATGATCCATGCAACGTTGAATAATGTCGACAAATCAATAGATGTCTGCGGTATCGATATCGGTAAGACTAATAAGGCGGAGGTTACGTCACTATCGTACCGACCAATCAAGAGACGGCCTTGAATCTACACTCGACATCGGTTCGGTATGCCGAGCTTTTGTTGCACCGCAGGCATACACACAATCAAGACACTGTCCGTCACAATTGTCCTACTCACAGTTTGCAGGTGGTATATGTTAGAAATATACGTTTCTTAATTTACATTGTCTCTTTTTTGTTTCTTAATCGGTACAACCCTTGTATGTTCTCTAGATTCAATAGACATTCTTTTGGATGTTTTGGTTTGATCAGATGTTAGCAGTATGGTAGATTTAAAGTTTGAGCTTGTAATACAGCCACTATTACTTAAATCACGCTTCGATACTCTAATTATATTAGGAATTCTTTTAGGATTTTGAAGAGCCTGCTTGTCTGTAGAATTTGTATTTCTCCAACTGCTCCCACTAACAACAGATACAATCTTTATTTGATCTTGAGATTGTTTTGTTGTTAATAAATCTACTTTAGTTGGTAAGATTTCCTTTTGTTTTACAACTTTATTAGGAAAAATAATCTCCGAAAGGCCTGATGTCGTTTTTATATTCATTTTCTCAATTGTGCCGGCGACTTTGCTTTTTGGTTTTAAATTAGTTGCAACATTACAATCATTTATTATTTTTGGCAATGGTTTCTCACTGTCGTTGAGTTTCGCTTGTGTTTTTTCTGATTTCATTTCCTTGAAATTCACTTCACCGTCGTCGTCTTTGACCAGCATAAAAGAGCTGATATCTTTCGTAAAGTTCATGTTTGGTTCAGAATATTTTACTGAGACAAATGTATTTGCAATAATCACGGAGAGGTTAGGTATAGTACATTCATTGAGTAGATGGTTGACACTGCTTGAGGAATTATTTTCATAAGCCGGGTCCGCACCAGATTTTACTAAAATTTCTGCCGTTTTTAGAAAATGTTCACCTACTTCGGACTTGTCTCCTAAAACAATTAACAATATTGTAGTAATTTAAATTGTAAAAGACAACAAGGTAAAAGAGCAACTATGAATTCATAAACTAATCAGTAACTTTCAAAAATAGATAAATATTCAAAGTCCAAGTATACTTACTCCCAGCAGCAACGTTATCTAGACAAGCTGCGGCAACCAGCACGTATAACGCAGTGTTGCCACAGTTAGGCATAGGCAAATTGACGGTAGTAGGATCCGCATCCAACAGAATGCTTACGTTTGTATAGTTGCCTAACTTACTGGCAAGTATTAACGGGGTATAACCTGAAAATAAAAATAATACAACTGGAAATTAATACAATAAATACGCGATGCAAACCTTGTCAAGAAACATTTTCTATTTCACTTACACATTTTTGGATATATTATTGTTATTACTTATTGCACAGTTTTTTGTGTGTAAACAGTATCAAAAATTTAACGTAAACTTGTTTAGCATCCGTATGTAGTAGTATGTAGTAAATGGCAGTTGTAAAATTTTCGCTTTAAGATATAGCGGAAGAAAATTGACAAGAAGGATTATATCATTGGTCAAACAGCTAACGTTTTTAAATAATGGACAAACGTAAATTCAGTCTCTTAATCGTGTAGTGATATTAAGAGACTTTTCCTTTATTTAAAAAAAATGAAAAATGGTGCCAATTGGGTGATTGCAAAATCATTAACAATTTATATTGCTTAAATTTTCTACTTTTCGTTATAACGAAAAAGTAGGTTATCAAATAATTTTTGTGAATAAAAAACAAGTCAATGGGTAATTTTTTTTAAATATAATACGTTTTTATAATGGACTAAAGCATAAAACTTCTTCTTTTTATCTTTTTTTAAACCGACTTCAAAAAAGGGGAAGTTCTCAATTCAACTGTATTTTTTAATTATATCTCAGAAATTTTTTCTAAGTGAACCGATTTTGGGGATTCGTTTTTTTTTTTATTTCAAAGCTGGTGTATTGTATGTGGTCCCATGTCGTTTTGATCAAGATCTGACCAGTTGTTTTTGAGTTATCCTTAATAATGCGTATTTAACTGACTTCAACTACATTGATGATCCCATTTATTTATATTGAAATCGGTTGTACAAAATTCTTACTTTAATTTATCACTTGTTTCATATTCGTACATTCGCATGAGCTATGTTCAAGATTCAAGTCTCTTGTTCATCGGGAAGTTAGTTAAAAATTGAATTGCCTAATTCAACCCGAACAGACATATACGAAAGCGAGTTAATAAAAACGTTGCAATTTAGCTTGCACAACTCAACCACTATTTCAACCGAGATTATGAATGTCTACTAAACAATTTAAATTAACTATAATTATTTAAACCAACCTTGATTATCATACATTCTGCAGATTATTGACAAGAGATATTTTGCGATCTCTTCATCTGATGTTGTTTCTAGTTCCGGTTTCCACAAGTTATTGTCATGAAGAATATACCTAAAAAGCAGGAATAGCAGTGACTACAACACATTAACATTTTCTGACTGATTTCGGTCACGGCGACAACTTCCGAACATCGTCGGAAGTAGCAGCCGTTCTATCTTCGGAGGATAGATGGGGTCCATGACCCAGAGTACATTTTGTATTTCCCGTCTCAAATATTTAGATTTTTACACGAGTACAATGCTAATACATAACACAAGCAACATCAAACTTTATAACAATTCATAATGTAATTCATCATCAGTAACAAACTTTGAGTATAGAACTATGCGACCTCCATCACAAATTCACGTTTTTAAAATTTACAGGAATACAATGCTAGCTTGACATAAAGTTGAAAATTATATCGATTTTGGGTTATATATAATAGATAGAACAAATTTTCTTTGGCACTTTATTCTGAGTTTTAAAAAAATGTGGTTCTGTCGACCTTATAACTGGTACTATGCAAGTCAAACGCAGTAATTCTAGAACACGGAATTAAATTGTGTCATGGATTAGCTTACAGCATCGGCGAGTGATTACAATTCATTGATAATATTTTGTCATAATATTTCCAATACATTCGAGCATGCAATTATTGTGTGAGCTCATCCATCTGTTACAGTCTATAAAAGTCCACAGATGAACATAGGCTTCCCTCACGTAGTGGGATTTTGCCATAGTTGCCACGCTTGGAAATCTGGTTGGCAACCACAGTTTTTTATTATTTTGAATTGTTGTCAGGAAGATACTGCTGCCTATCTCCCGTTTAATTTTCCTTCTTTCGCTTCTTGCGACACCTTCGGAACTATATGGGGTAGCGGATATTGTTACAACACCACTACTCGGTTGTGTGTTCTTTTTGCCACCAAATTTGTCGTTGCCAGTGCTAACGAGATTGATTACAACGCGATACCGTCGCATGATTGGTTTTTTTTATAACACATTAGCTTGAATTATACCAAAAAAAGTGAGAAAGGCACTACTGTATATTATAGGATTCGTAAAAAGGTCCAAACTTAATCGCAATTTTAAAATATCGCATCATCTAATAACGTTGAATGTAATACTGTTAGCTTATTGATTAGGAATTCTTTGAAAGCTTTATTATCAGGAAACTATAACAGAATGAAAGAACCATTCACTAATGAAGACATATAGGCTTTATAAATTGTTGCACGAAACATTTAAAAAGTAAGTAAAGATTAAAATTAATGTGGTGGTTTAACATGTTTATTATCAACATAAAAAGTATATTGTTATTCAGGGCATATACCAATGAAATGTTCTCAGTCTACTTGGCTCATAATTCAATATCTGTAATTATACTGATTTTGTACTCCTCTTGACTTACACAACAGTGGGAACATTGTGGCTTCGTCATGGCATTATAAAGGTATAAAGTGCCCAGCACCCATCCAGACGGACTACTAGGAATAAAAGTACCTATAACATACATAACACACACACATACGCACACGCACACACACACGCACACGAACTCGCACACGGACACGCACACGCAACGCACACGCACACGCACACACAAAACATTTTCACATGTAGAGCAGATGTAAAATCACCAAACTAGAAAACTACAAAAATAAATCATTCACAATTGATTCCAATTATTTTTATGGTTTTCTATAAGTGTTATCTACTGTAGAAAGTTATCTTGGCTAAGTCCCCTCATAAATCATAAATTCCACAGTGGAAAGGCTTAGGTTCAGCAGGAGACTGTTAAGAGGTTGGTGAAGAATAGTGAAGAATTCATTTCACTAAAATCTCAAATATGCGAGCTTTCCGACGATTGTTATCCCCATGTCTGAACATACGAAAATTTTGGTTAAAACATCTAGCCAATTTCATTATTACCGGTACCGGGAATCGATCTCACATTGCTAACCTGCTATGAAAAAATAAGATTTGAAAGACCAGCTGTCAACTGAGACCGGTCCCCAATTTTATTTTAGTAAATAATATGTAATCAACTTACCGGGCGTTCCTCTGACAGTAACTGATCACCACTTTTAAATGATCAGAAGAGATTTCGGCGGCAAGGTGTACTGTTGTTCTCTGCTCATCGTCAGTGAATAATGGATTAGCGCCATGCTGCAGAAGAACATCGGTGCAAGATGAAGTTTCTTGAAATATGGACATCTGTAAGGCTGTCTGAAATGCAAATTGGAAATTCAATTTATATTTCTTTTAAAAAGTATTGTATTACAGTTATTTGTCGAATGGAGGCTGCGTAATAATATAACGATTTTTATTTAACACAAATTACAAGTGGACGTAATTTATGAAAAACGTTCCAACCTTACAATATAATAATACTTAGTAAAAAATGCAGTTAACTAACATACTAAGAATGAAAAGACCTTTGAAATGCTCAACTTCAAAATAAAAATTGAAAATCTATTTGTTTTACGTAAAACGCTTTATTTATATAGTTCTGATGTATAATGGGTAATGATTTAAAAAATATGTTAAAAACTGGTTTTGCATTAAAACTAAGTAGAAAATAAAGTGTTAAAAAACTTTTTTTCATAAGTCTTAGAAGTTATGAAATAAAAAATAAATAAATATAAAATTATCAAAAATCATTAATTGTGTCAATTTCTCAATTTTACAAAAAATCATGCATGTGTTTCTCAATCGATTCAGTCAATACAAAAATTGTACCGAAAGACGATAGGCGAAATTTTTTTAAATGTTCGTTCATATTTAACATCATGTAAATAACGCTGAGCTTAATAGAGGTTAGGTATTTCGATATTATCGGAATCATCATCATCATCATCGATGATGATTACAGAGAGGCACTTCAATTTAATTCATTTAAACAGATTAATAACATTTGAAAACCGGAATTACAACATTAGAACAATTCTTGCTAAATAAAGTACGACAGGTATTATTTAAGTAGACCTACATAACATGCACATGGACATGACACAGAAAGCAATAAAGAGATAATCAGAAAAATATTACGGGTGCATTATAATATTATTGAAGACCAAGTAAGAGATGATGAAAAGCAAGTGTATGATGGTTAAGGTCTATCTGAGAATCAGAGCCATGGTAACACAGGTCTCCTCTCCTTACGGAAAGGGTTTTAAAACAGTCCGATTTACCTAATTACGAGTTGACGGACTTCAGATGTCCCAAAACATTTTTATCAGACAAACTTCACAATGTTTTTATTTTTGACGAGAACACTGATGATATATATATATATATATATATATAATCAGCACTTAAAATTGCAAATAATTTCAAAATTTAATGTGAGTACGAGAATGAAATCATTCATTGTGAGTATTAAAATAATCAATTGACTGTTATTCATACAAATACGATACATAACTAAATATCGTGCCGACGGCATAATTGTTGTTATAAAGGAATCCCCATCAAGTATTATGTGCTCAGGCACATTATACTTAATGGGGCTATATTTTAAACGTACAAAAGAGGTATATATAATGAAACAAAAAGTTTTAGCACAGTTTTTTTTTTCTTAAAGAATTATGTATAGAAATTCTATTATCATACTTTATACTGGATGAGACAAGGCAGAGTTAACAGTTAAAATAAAAACTAAAATATGGTTGTGGTTAAATGTAAAATATATTTATGATTGAATAAAAATGCAGATGTGTTGTCACTAGGGTATGCAATACCGGGATACCTGGATCCCGCATGCATTTTGCGGGACTAATCTCGTACGAAAATATTACGGAATCCCGCTGGATTGGCGGGATTAACAGAGAAGCATGGTCCATACGTGTTAATGTTCGCGCGGCGGCGCGTAAACTGAGCTAAGCGATGCGTGGTGCAGAGAAACAGTGTGAGGGCGCGGGGGATTCCCCCGCCTTTGTTTGTGTACTTAATATTTTGCCAGTTACAACTGGTGATTATGACGTTACGCAGTGATTTTTTCATAGAATATTGATTTCTTTAGATAAATCTGAATAAACTGAGAAATTTCCAGGTTTTGTATTATTTAATGAGTGACAATAATGTCGGAAAAAGTGTATAAAGACTTTTGTGGTATTATTCCTGTATGGAAGTACTTTTTGAAGGCCGAAGATTTACAAACCGCAAAATGTAAGTTGTGTAAATTAATAATTAAAACGACTGGACGTTCGACAAAAGGTTCACATGTGCATCTAAAGTCAAAACACAAAATTAACAAGGAAAGCGCATCAGACGGGAGCGGAAGTGCTGCAGCTTCTGCAACTGCGTCAACGTCCAGTTCCTCGACATCGACTCATTGTGAAGCTCAACCATCAACCTCGGCAAAGAAGCACAAAATCACTGACCATTTTCCAAGTGCAAACAGTGCTGTAGAAACGAGGTTATCACGCATGGTGTCAAAAGATGGTTTTCCATTCCGGGTTTTCTGCACCTCGTCGGATTTACGAGACCTTTTTAAAGCCGGGGGCTATAAGTTACCAAAATCGCCTAATTCTATCAAATTAATGGTTATGCATTTCGGCACGACTGTAAAAATTACCATTATTCGAGATCTTCTAAAGCTGAAAGAGAGCAACCACAGATTCACCCTCACATTCGACGAATGGACTTCAACGAGAAATAGGCGCTATTTAAACGTTAATGTTCACTTGGCTAATGAAAAATCTATTTTTTGGAACTTAGGGCTGGTGCGGATTTACGGAAGTCTACCTGCAGAAAATGTATCACTGTTTTAAAAGAAAAATTATCAGAATATGAGCTATCTTTGGATAAGGATGTAATCTGTATTACCACAGATGATGCCAGTCATGGTAAAAGTTGGGAAACTCATCAAACCCCATCAACAACTCTGTTATGCACATGGCATCCAATTGGCTGTTTTGGATGTTATTTATAAACAAAATACTTCTTCACGTAGTGGCCACGAAGCATCAAATGAAGAAATGTCAGTGCGAAATGAGACAGTTAGTGAAAGAGCTGATGAGAATTGTGACAATGACTTGGAAAATGACGAAAATGACATTTTTGATTTGTCTTTTCCTACACATACAAGTGAAATAAACCTGACTGTGGAATATGCAGAAGTTGTTAAGAAGGTACGAAAAGTAGTAAAACTATTTAAAAATACACCTACTAAAAACGATCTGCCGCAGACGTATATGACAAAAGACATGGGAAAAAATATTGCTTTATTGTTGGACTGTCAAACAAGGTGGTCAGGGCCTGTGCGAAATGATAACAATATTCAACAAAATAAGATCGTGTGTATCGAAAACCCTGATTGACTTAGGTCTTGGTGCAAATCATGACTACGTTTTCACTGAACAGGAATATAATGTGCTAATGGATCTAGAACGAATATTACAGCCGGTAAAATTAGCAGACGAAGTTTTGTGTAGACGTGAGTCTAATTTGATTACTGCGGAAACTACTTTGAGATTTATTATTAGCAAACTGATAAATATTAATAAACCGTTAGCCCGAAAACTTGTTGATTCGTTGAGGAAACGAATCTCAGAGCGGCGAACTGACTTGACAGCGGTTTTATTATACTTACATGATCCACATAAGTACGAAGAAGACAAAAGTCAATTTATTTATGATGAAACATTCAATCTACCTCCAAAGAGTGTAATACGCAAGGCCATCAAAAATATAGTAGAAAGGCTAGAGTACACAGGAAGCAATGCAGTAACCACTACTCCTGTTGATGATCCTTATGAAGACATCCCTCCTCTAATCTCGAGACGCAAACGCAGCCGCAGCACCAATGTCACTTGAAAACGAACTCGAACTGACTTTGACTAGTATCAAAAGTCCTGGCTCAACAGCCCAGCCACCTAGGTCTGGAAGTATGAGTAACCTTGAAGTTTTCATAAAGAAGGAAATGAACTATTTCGAGTCGGGTGGATTAAAAGGCACTTACCTTCAGTTCGCCTATAACGCACTTATGACTATTGTACCAACCAGCATGGAAGCTGAGCGGGCTTTTTTAGCTGCTGGCTACCTTGTGTGCAATATCAGAAGCTGTTTAGCAGATGACACAATTAATACTTTAACTTTTTTAAGAAGCTACTTCCAAAATAATGTTTAATTATCACTGCAATTTATGTCATCATCTGTATGTCTAAAGTAATAAATAAACCATTTAAAATATACGAAAAGGCTTGTTTTATTTGGCTTCAAATTAAAACCATGGAAACGAAGTCTTTAATTTAGATTTCAGAGGTCTAGCTCCACCCTGCTGGATCCATCAAATACCTGGATCCAGCGGGACTAAGATGATTCAATCCAGCAAATACCTGGATTGAAATTATCTTGCGGAATTGCATTCCCTAGTTGTCACCCTTGAGTACTAAGATGAAATGCCCATTTCTAGTAAAAAGGGTCTCCGATTTTCTACACTCACCATACAAAACACAGTACAAACATATTATATTATTATACTATATTATGTTATTGTACTATATACATTAAGCTGCTCTTTATGCTGGTATTCCGTGAGAGCGTGGTCCTTCCCCGGTCGAGCCGGCCCTTTCGCGCTACAACCATAATATAGCCGTAGCATTGCTCTACCGCGTACGAAGGCTTCCGATAGACAGCCATCTCATTAACGCCAGTCATAAAATATCCAAACCCCGGACGGGGTGCAACATCAAATTGCCAAATGTATCGTACCTGTCAAACGTGACGATGAACATTACGGCAAAGGCCCTTACTGGACTTTTAAGATGACTACGTAAATTAAGAACCGGGTTTCATTATCACAATCGCCATATGCGTGACTTTAGGGTAGCACGATGGTCACCCGAGCCGCACCTTAACCTACTGTCTCTGATATTGCAAGATTGATGTAATGTTATATTAGATGCAAATAGGCTAACATATGAGTAAGCTTCAGAGTTCTTCGTTCTTTTTTTTTATAGGATAAGGTTGGCAAACGAGCACACAGTCCACCTGATGGTAAGTGGATGTTGTGGCCCATAGACATCTACATTTAATCTCGATTAAGAATCAAAATGCAGATGCGTTGTTACCCTTGAGGACTAAGATGGAATGCCTCGTTTTCAGTAAAAAGTTTCTCCGGTTCTCTACACTCAATATTCGAAACACAGCAGCATTAAGCTACTATTTTACACTACTATTCTGTGAGAGCGTGGTCCTTCCCCGGTCGAGCCGACCCATTCATGCTACAACCATAATAGCTGCAGCGTGGCTCTACCACGTATAAAATTCTTCTATAATGGTAAGTAGGGTATGGACCGTGAACTCTAAAGGTCGTGGGTTCGACTCAAATTCTACTACTGTCAAGCATTTTAAGCTTACCACAAGTGGTTACAGGGAATATTAGTAATGTTAATAAATATAATAGCATTGCTAGTATTTAAAAAAAATAACGCCCAGTTTAGTCAGTTAGGTCGGAAACATGGGAGAAAGTGGTATAGTATAATGCCACGGAAGTTGAAGACCGCGGGATCGATTCCATTACCCGAAACCATTATTTAAAACTGTCTATAATAATTGCCTCGCTGGCTTCCACTTTAGAGAATTCATTATCCTATATCTGTATATTCATCCCGTGACTCTACAGCGTGCTATATTATGGTTGTAGCACGAATGAGTCGGCTTGACCGGGGTAGGACTACGCTGTCACAAAATACCAGCGTAAAATAGCAGCTTAACGCTGTAGTGTTTCTTATCGTGAGTGTAGAGAACCAGAGATCCTTTTTACTGAAAACGAAGTATTCCATCTATGTCCTCAGAGGTGACAACGCATCAGCATTTTGATTGAGAATAAACGTAGATGTCTATTGGCTACATCAGGTGGACTGTGTGCTCGTTAGTCACCCTTATTCTATTTAAAAAAAACATGGTTTCAGGTGCTCCCACGCTCGTTTGCCCATTTCATAAATCTTCTTTTATATATAATGATCCTCCCGTATGTGTTTATCACTCTACTGCTCCAAACGGCTGGAACAATTTTGATAAAAAATTTATGTGTTTTTTTTTGAATAGTTTAGATAGTTGGACTCGGTCGGTGGCGCTGTTGTTGAAATCCAAAAACCACTCGTGCATAGCCGTTGGATAGCTAGTATTTTAGATGTTATGTACTTAATTAAATATTGAGTTGAACATGTGTTAAAACTCACCAATTTACCATTGCCCATTAAATCAACAGACTCATTTCTGCTTTTCAACACTACGCACTGTCTTCTCAACAATTCCACATCATTATTCAATACTGCCAAATGAATAGGTCTGAAAAAGATTATCAATGTTACAGTACGTGAGGGTAACAGTAGTATTATAGTACATGAGGGTAACATGGTCATCCGGTTAACATGCTCACTTTCTTGTAACTCAAAACCGGCCTCTTCATCAGTTATAGTTGATTAACTGATGAAGAGGCCGGTCAGAGTGTCAAAAAGGCGCTGCTTTATCGACGCCATTTTGACGGGTTAAATTGTAGTAAATATTTTAGTCGATTTTAGTATTGTGTAGTTTAGTTAGTTTTTTTAAGGTGATTTTTGGAAGTAATCCTAATTATTTCCAAAGCTTGTTTACTATTGTTTTCTTAATATATTAGTTATAGTATATGACTTTGTTCTTTTGTCCCTGTTTTAAGAGAGTGGTCGGTCTGCGCGGGAATTGAGAAATAGGTATTTGATGGCGGCTAAGTACACGCTCGTCGAGACACCACGAGACAGGCCGAGTACGAGTGTGTACATGGAACTCTCGTCGCGTCGCGTCGCGTGGCCCTCGTGCGCTCTCGAAAGCATGTCGGTTTTTTGCGCTCGAGTCAAAGGGTCTCGTGAATCTCGCGATAAAAACGAGAATATACTATATTCTATTCACCGTACATGGTTCAGTTACGGTAAATAGAAACCATCCACCATCTTCTTCTTCGCCGTGGCTTATTAATTTTATTTTTATGGTAAATGTGTAAAAAGTTATAATAACTAATAGGACAAAGGCAAAACGCAGCAACAGTTTTATCTAGGTCCATCTCAGCGGGCATACGGAATTCAAATGATACAACGAGTGTGTTGTGAAGTCGTGAGCACACTTTTTATTGGTCGATACGACGTTGACCACGCTGACGTTCAACGTGATTGGTTCATTAGTCGATTCTCGTCGTCTATTGGTTTCGAACGTATCATTCGGCTTCCGTACACTTCAGAGCAATAATTTTAATGATAACTTTTTTAATAAGATTTTCGTTAATGGTTTTTGTCAGCTCGTTGTTAATTGTTGTTTGTGTATTCCTTGTTATTTATTGTTTTTGTTATTTCTTGTTTTTAATTATTTTTGTTGTTATAATTTGAGTGTTCAGATTTTGGTCTAAATATGCAGAGAAGGAAGAATTCGGTGTTAAATAGACAATCCCGACAAATTTTCTATTCAGTGTTTAGTTACACGAAAAAATTAGGTACTGCGAAAAACATTATAGACGTATATAAACAGACTGCTGAGGCGACTAAAGTCTCAGTACTCAGTAGCTACTGTACGGCGCACCGCAACACCAGATTTTATGGAAGGCATATCACCTCTTCCTTCTTCTTAATAAAATAATCAATTCTAACCACCAGGTATACATTAAATACTTTATAGTAGATAATAAAATAACGGACATGAATATCTGCAACATTACTGTATCAAAGTAAAAGTTGATGTGTTCGAGTAAACATTTTCATAAAAGTCGCCGAAAATATTAAATTACGAAATGAAATAATAAAGGTATCCAATAATTTTGCCCGACAGTGTACCTACCTCCCACCACAGTTTATCTGTGCTCACCACTCGTGTCGGCAACTATACATGATGTATTCTCGTGTCGAGCCTCAACACGACGAGAGGCACGCGACGCGACGAGACGAGCGTGTACAGCGAAACACATGTACGGTTTCTTTTATTTTGTGGAAAATAGTGTGTAAACTCGTTATAACTATATTGAAAAGACATAGTATACTTTTGCACGGAAAAGGGACTTCAGTGGAATTCGTTTTAAAGTTGGTTTACGACTGATGTCCCATAAGTAGTCATGCAACATTAACACTACTTGTAAACGAAGGTTTGCAACCTCAAGTGTCTATCTTAAAAAAAAATCTAAACACACAACACAACACATACAGAATAAATATACATATAACTATTACATAACTTGTATTATTTAAAATACCCACAAGCACCTCTTCTGCTACATAAATATTAAGAATTTACTCGATGCAGCTGCTCGAGCAGTCAATATTTTATAAACTCCTCAGTAAAGCTGGCAAATCAAGTAAGCAGAATTATCACACCAAGCAGCAGACTGCGGACATTAGTTACGTATTATTTGGTTACGGTTGGTTACGGTTTGTATTTTTTCAAGAGACACTTCGCTTATGTTCATTTCAACGTTAATTACCTATAAACTCTTAAAATATCATTGAATTATTAATTCGTTGTCACTTGAAAAAATACAAAAGTTCTGTGCCGCCTGTAATTCAGTATAGCATAAACTCGATATCGACTGACATCACTATGATATCGATAAAAATGTCGACAGTTGTTGTTTTCTAATTGTGTACGTATCAGAACAGAATAAATAATAGTAGTAATGTCCTCCAGGCCAAATTTCGGTCACGGCGCTCAGCTTCAACGAAGACTAGGGACCGGCGCAGGACGGGATTATAGTGCCCAAGTGTATGCGCAAGCATGGGTGCACCTCTCTATTCCATCACTCTCATAATCCGATGAGACGGTAAACCGACACGACCAGAAAGACATCAGGCGCACGACCAACGGCTTTACGTGCTTTTCGAGGCACGGGAGTGAGACACCGCCAACTTCCTGACTCCGGGCAGCTACTCAGGATTTCTTGACGGAAAAACTCAATAATAGATTTTTTTTTTTTGCCCGACCCGGGATTCTAACTTAGGACCTCATGATCAGCAGTCGCACTACTGCAACCACTAGACCAACGAGGCAGTCACAAATAGTACTACGTAGTATTAGTCTAACCCTCCCTCACCTCTGGTCTCCCCCCGTAGAGTGCGATGAGGACAACTACAGCTTAGAACGACTTTACCTACAAAAACCATGACCGATCGTCGTTTCGTATTCCCCTGTTTTATCCTCGAATACTAAGCCGATAAAAATATCTTTGGTATCAAAATTTAAAGGAAGAATAGATCTATGCTCCTATCATTTGTTTTTATCTTATAACCTTTTTAAAATTTCTTTGGTAGTCGTGTCACTACGGAGGTAAAAACGGGGCATTTATTTAGGTTTTTGGAAAGTCATATTTATTTTTGTAATCATTTTTTTTTAATAAAAAATAGGGGCATGCCTTTAATAGACCTTGATTTTTATAAACAACAACGATTACTCTAGAGACATTATTCAGGAAGAGAATAGGGAAATACATTTGTATGGAAAAAATGTGGCCCGTCTACGCTCTTAAAGTGACCATATTACCCTCACGTATCTTATTACGTTTGGATATATCCAAAGAGGATACATATTTTTACACCCTACTCTACGCCCTATATATACCCTATCAATGCAGAGGCCACCTCCCAAATTCACACGTAAGATTTTTCAAAATGCGTATTTTAAGTGAAAATATGTTAATCAGTGCTTGATTTGCGTTGGGTTCATTAAAAAAAAAAAAAACATTTATTTCGCGGAGTTCGTATAACCGCGATAAATATTATTGCGTAGGATTTAGCAATATCTTACTTAATTTAAATCAAATTTTTCCCGAAATTTTACATTGTTTCTTGCGGGGAATAAATACGTGATATTTGCCGAGACTCTCCCTCTACCCCACGTGAGAATGAATGGTGAGTTTCGACTGGACCCCCTCAACCCCCCTTAACACTTTACTTATTGAATGGATACTTAATCATGTAAATTAATAAATTAAAAATTAAAGTCAATTGCTGCTGTCAATGCACCAACAAAAATCTCAAATAATAATATGATTATTAACCATTTATTGAATACTTTTGATCCCGAGTAGTGGCGATGAAAGAATATTTACTACCACATATTGTCCCGTGGCTGTCGTAAGGAGCGACTGACATCGATGCCTGCAGAACCAGTACATGTTTAATTATTTAATTTATATAAGAGAGGGCACACGAGCATGCTTCTCTCCTGATGGTAAATGACTACCGCCGCCTGTAAAAACTGTAACACCAGCCCACCTTTTAGAAAAGAGTAGGCTTTTATCTTGAATAATCCTAAGATGTATCGGTCTGGAAAAATCGGTAGCCTAGGCTAGGCTAGTGGTATTTGATTCCACAAGAAATTTGCGCGAGGAAGAAAAGTTCTAATAAATAACATAGTAGTGGATCGCCAATCATGAAGATAGTATGGATGGTTTATAATCCAGCATAGCGAAAAAATTGCTGCATGGTTTGCTGCTGTCACCTCATCCCTGTTCAGAAAATTCACCACGACCTGGCATGTATGGCTGCCACAGGCTGCATAAGGACTTGACCAACAAAAACCTTAGAAGCTATGCTGGAGCTAACCCCGCTTCACCTACATATCCAACAACAACAATCCTTGGAGTAAGAGTAGAGTCTCTCATACAGGTATAATCAATAGAATTTTAACCAAAATTCCTATCCTACAAAGCAAATACAACAAGATCCCAAATACAATTAAATTTAACTACTCATCCAGAGGAATTAAGCCCTAAAAAACTTAGAATTTTCATGGATGGTTCTAAAACAAATGCAGATGAAGGATTTGGAACTTTTTCTGAATAAATCAACATCCACATATGTACACTGCTGGGTACCTACAAAACAGTCTTTCAGGCTGAATGTATGAGTATTATTTAAGCAACTATAGCAATAGATGCCAGGAAAGTAGAGGAATTCTCCATCAGATTACTGACCGGCAGGGCAGTACAGTACTATAGGGTCTGAGTTCTTATGTGGTGGACATGAGGCTAATATATGAATGTCATCGAAAACTTTATGAGGTGTGTAAATACAACAAAGTGATTCCACCTAAATTCAGAGGCAACAAACGCAGCAGACAAACCGGCCTGAGGAGGATCAGCTCTGGTCACCATAGTGGCGATACTAGATCCTTTTGGTCCTATATGACCAAAAGGATCTAGTATAACCGATCTCTGATATAACCGATCGTACCAAATCCTTTTGGTCCGATATAATCGATCATACCAAATCCTTTTGGTCCTATATATGCGATCATACTAAATCCTTTTGGTCCCATATAACCGATCATACCAAAACCTTTTGTTAACATTCGTTCATTGGTACGTGGGTACTTCACTAATTTACCTGCTAAGCTTTGAAAAACCTAGAAGGTTGTAGGCAAACTAAGGAGGCCCGCCAATAAACAGGTGTTTCACTGAAGTCTTAATGAGATTAAACAAACCAAAGATCAGGATAGCATCAAGTGATATTACAGGCTCTTTTAACCAACATTTATTTACCATAACTGTCACAGACAGTCCCCCGTGCAGAGCATGTATGAGAGAGGAGGAAAGGGCGACCCACATGTTGCTGGCATGTCCAAAGGTGCTGCATAAAGGGCTAAACATTTTGGCACACAGAGATCCCTACTGAAGTTGCTGGTAACATCCAAGGACTGACGAGCTTTTATTTTATAATGCACAAAATATGCACTTAGAGGTGGAATTGCATAAATAAACTATACTAAAAACATCTCATAATCCTGACGTCATTAGTGTTAACATCTTGCTTACTATAGTAAAAATTGATTTGTGTCTAAACAATGGCTTGATATTTGCTAAAGAGTGTAAGTATCAGTTTATATGAAAACCAAGTAATAATATTTGCATAAAATAGACTTTTATATTGCATGTGTGAAAAGTTTTCATCATCCAGGGACAATATAACTAATACTCAACTTAATTGTCTAACTGATGAGGATAAAGAATGGGATTAGAAATAGTGTACATAAGTTGAAAATAGCGGTAATATATTGTTTTGTGTAATATACTGTGTGTTGTGTATATATAAATTATACAAAAAAGAAATATATATATATATATATATATATATATATATTTATATATATATTATATATATATATATATTTTTTTTTTTAGTCTTAGGGTTTATTATTTTATTCCATGTTAATTCAACTCCATTTTGGGAGATTTTCAGAATTGATGTCTTAGATTTTCATGATTTTTTTTATGTATCAATATATCATAGAGTTATTAAAAAATACCAAATTTCCGTTATGTAGCACAATTATTTTTGAAGTTATTAATTTTAAAGATTTTAATTTTTATGAAAAAATTTCATGTTTTGGCACCTTTGCATGCGTATAGACTGAGAACCAATGATGATATAAACCTGGGATTGGTCTCATTTTAAAGCTATTAGAATGGGGCTTCAATAATATATGCCACAAGATAAGGTTACAATTCTTAAAAAATAAAAATTTTTGAATTATATTTTAAAATTAATTTTTTTTAAAAGTGGCAATTTTAAAAAATTTCAAAAAATTATCAAATATAGCTTATAATGTCTTAATACCTATAGCAAAATTCTATCATGGGATCGCAATGGGATCAAGAGATACAGGATTTCAGAAATACACCTGTTTTATAAATAATGTACCAAATTAGTAAAATTTTATTTTTTAATTACAAATTTTGCTATGCAGTGTGCAGAACACTATTAAATTAATAAAACGTAATGTTTACTTTATAGTACCATGTTTGGAAACCTCTCTTTAGAAGAAAACTGAAGCTGATTGGTTTACAAGTAGAGAGAAATCCCCTTTTACACTGATAAAAAGGGGATTTCCCTCAGGGGAAACTCCCCTTTCACAAGGCGGGAGCGGACACTGTGGATTCCTTTTTCAGATGTGATATGCAAAGTGAACCCCATCACACAGACTGGCCGAACATACATTGTACCAGATGGTGAAGTGAACAAATGTGATATGATGTGGATATCTTCCAAGGATTGAAGTCTTGAATTAATTAATTTGTGATATTGATTTGTTTATTATATTTTTTATATATTGATAGACCGAGGTAGACTTTATAATAATTTTTAAACCCCTAACTTTAATTAATTAATTAGCTTGTTAACCCTTAACTTTACTTAAAAAATGTTAAATTAATACCCACTGCTTGTTTCATTGTAATACGTTGTTTGCTTCATTCGATGAACTATTCAAAATTAAAGCCCCATTTAACAGCTTTAAAATGAGACCTCTCCCAGGTTTATATCATCATTGGCTGTCAGTCTATAGGCATCCAAAGATGCCAAAACATGAATTTTTTTCATAAAAATTAAAATCTTTAAAAAATAATAACTTAAAAAAAATTGTCCTACATAACTGGTATTTTTTCATAAGTCTATGATATATTTGTGGACAAAGAAAACCATGAAAATCTGAGGCATCAAGTCTGAATCAGTGTGTTGATTTGACATGGAATGACCCTTTAATTTTTTGAAGAAAATCTAAGAAAAAATTGTTTTCAAACACTTTCATAAAGAATTGAGAAGGAGGTTATGATGACGCTAATATCACTTGATCATCGGTGTTCAAAAGTCATTTGATGGTTATTTCATTATTCCCATTCTAAACCTGCCTTCTTCAACTTTCAAATTTTCCAAACTGTCCATAAATAGGTTGAAAAACCACAGGGAAGCCACACAGCCCTGTCTGACACCTTTATGGATGGCAAACCAGTCCGAGTAAGTTGGTTCTAACAGAAACTAAAGTCCCTATAAAGAGACTTTAATACCTATATCAACCCAGCGCTCAACCCAAATGAGTTCAGCGTTCACCAAAACACATCCCTATCCACTCTGTGACAAGCTTTTTCCAAGTCCATGAATGCACAAAAAATTTTATGGGTTTTGGCCAAAAACTTCTCCGCGATCATGCACATGGAAGACTTGATCTGTACACCCCATTCCTTTTCTAAATCCCGCTTGCACATCACAAATTTTTCCATCAGTTTCTGTCATAACTCTTTCAATTAGTACCTTAGCATACAGTTTTTCCACAATGCTAAGAAGGTAAGGTAGTTTTTAAAGTCCTGCTGCAACCCTTTTCCCTTATATATTGGGACTATCACAGCTTTGCAACAATCTCCCGGTACTCACTTCATTTCCCAATGTAAATAAAACAAGGTGTACAGCAGGCCTGCCACCACTTTCTCTCCAGCCCTTAGCATTTAGAGTGATACTCTATCAAATTCATTAAACTAATATGTGGGCATATTGTAAGAAATAATTTGCATTGCTTTAGTTGCATTTTGATATAAGGGAAATATTTGATTATTCTCTACAAGAAATAATTACTAATATTACTCTGTTTATCTTAAGTAAAATATGTTGGTTTAATACTTACAAATTACCATCCTCATCACTATTTAAGCAATATTTCCAATCAATATATGCCTGATGCCACAACAATTTGCTTCGTTCTTCTGGGCTTAAATATTTTAATATTTCTGGTGTAGCAATATGAAATTGATCTTCCGGCTTGCTTTTTATTTTAACTTGACTACCATCTAACATTGTGAGAGTTGTGGACTCCAAAAATTTTGGTTCCTGAATATGTTTATCTATGTCATTTAGTAAAGCTGTAGGATTTTCCACTAGTAAATTTGGTATACTAGAACTAGTTATGGAAATATTACCATAACTTATTTCCGATATATTACTGTCCTCGTCCACAATTTCCTTTAAGTCCGGAAATGTTGTTTCATTACTACAAATAACACTTTCAATTTTAATATTATTTTCATTTAGAGTGTTACTTGCAAATTGGTTGACAGTAGTTTCAATTTGTGTATAAGGCTCCTTCAATTGTGAATGATGATTTTCACTTGAAGTACTGTTCTTATTTAAAAATGCCCTTTTTTTATTGTAATATTGTTTTCCTGTTTTAAAAAATTCACTACGTTTGATTAACTCTTTTGTAGCCTCAAATTGTTGGGGATTTATAACAACTTTCTTAATGTTTCCTGTAGATTTTGAATCTTTCACAACATAGGGTCCTAAGACTGGTTTTCTTAACTTTTTTTTTAATTTAAGTCGCTGTAATAAGGCCGAGCATGTCTGGTCTGTTTGGGTTGATACTGATGTGACATTAGAATTTTTACTATCAATAACTTTTGCAGATTTTTGATTTTCAATTACTTTTTCAGAGATCACTTCAATATCAGGATTGACAAAAGCAGTTTGATATTGACAAGAAATATTCTTAGTCCTTTTGGGCACTGTCAGTAGAGCTAAGATACCTTGTATACGAAGCTCCTGACTAATAACTGAACATAACGCAGAAAATACAATGTCATAATTCTTTTGACCAATTAACTTCGTAATATCATCAGATGTTCGTTCAATATTCCCCAATGTTTCACTAGAGTACCGAGCGGTTGTACGACTGCTATTATTAAGTAGATCTAATTTATTCACAATTGTCAGGTTAGGGTATTTCCCTTTCATGAAGTCACCCTTTTGCGATCGATATATTACGTCTTCTTTAAGAGGTCGAGTTATTTTAATGCAACGTAGTAACGGCTTATCATTATTATAATGTTTTTTCAAAAGAGACGTTCCTTGCTTTTTGATATGTAACGGTGTTTTAGGCAAAGAAGTATCCATCCTTCAAATTACTTTATATTTTGCTGCTAAGTAAACATAGTACAACACAATAAGAAAATCTTATAATTTATCATAACCTCACTTTAGACATTAAAAAACCCTGTTTATTGACCACTTGTTGACCACATATACAATATGTAACAATAAAAATAATCCAAATAGCCTATAATTTATGAAATTTCAAAAAACAATATTGACTTCAATCACAATATAACCACTTTTTTTCGGTATTATATTATAAATAGGAGTGGTCGTTACAAAACGTAACTAGTTACTGAAACTATCTATTCACACAATAGCGGGTAGCGGGTTATTGCAGTGCAACGAAACTATCTATTACAGTAGACGTTTTACTCAGTAACACGACTCACGTTTCACGAATTACGAACGAGCGATCAGTAACAAAACGTTTATTCGGCTATTTTCGCGACGCATCGGCGACGGCTTCGGCTGTTGAAGTAGAAACACATGAGTAAAGAAACCGACTCTTTACGCTGTGGTAGAAGTACCACCGGTCGTCGAATGTCGAGTGAGCGCGGGTGCTTTTGCATTTGACCTATGACTCTATTCCCTTCGTATAGATGCGATATTAGAAATGAGAAAGTGAGTGTACATGTTTTTAACAAAAAAATAGTTCAAATACCATAATTTAAATGGCCTTGGCCCGGTTTAAATTAGTCTTGTGTTTAGGTTTAATGACACGGTTTGTTTTTACTTTTTAGGCGCGTTTGTTAATGTTAATAATAATAATATTTTTAGTAAAATAAGAACTAAATACAATTGTATATATCAGTGTTAATAATAATAATAATTGTACGGTAATTAGTGTAACTAAATGTAAAAATAATACTAAAACTTTATGTGATAGTTTTCAAAAATGTCTCGAAGTAATGCCAGTGTACTTTTCAAGTGATATTTTTATCAAACCGTGCGAACTGATTTAACAAATAAATAAATTTAACCATTAGCACCATGGCTAATTCTATACGAAACGGTAACAACGGTCGCAACGTTTTTCAATGGAACACGTGGTGAAACACTCTATTGAAGCCGCTATTAAAATAGAGTGTTTCAAAACCCTCTATTAAAATAGAGTGTTTCAAAAGCCGCTATTGATATTCGATAGATAGTTTCGTTTCGTTACTCAAAAAAGCCGCTACTACCCACCGCTAGTTATAAAATCTTTACTTTGGGGTAATCCCACAGAGTACCTTTGTATAAACCGAATTGGGTAATCCCATTGATCTCTATAGGTAGGTACTTTATGTGAATTGGTGAATCTACTCTATGCATTTGACTATATAATCTATGTATTTGTCTATTTGACAGATATGGGTAACCCCCACAAATGTAGACAGAGAATGCTACAAACGTAGACAGAGAAACCTATAGACAAATTGACGCCTTCTTTCGCATTCACACACGAAAAAGATAGATTTATGCATATGTCTTGCATAGAAATGAGACAGAGCGGTGTAGTGTTTGTCCTTTTCTCCGTACCGGTTTTTTGTTTAGCAAACTACACTTTGCTAAACAACTTTGATAGTTCGTAGCGATCTAAGGAGTTTACAAGTTGGTTTAAGTGAGAAAAAAGTGTTTTGTGAGCTTAAGATTGGTGAATCTTGTTCAGTTCAGTTCTTAGAACAGTTAAAAATTTTATCTAAATATGTTTAAAAGTCATAAAGATTAGGTATTGTATAACCTAAAACTACGTTATCGTCCTTTCTCACTCAAGGCCACGTTAATCATTAGTTTATAGGTTTCTCTGTCTACGGCTACAAATAATAAAACTTAGAGTAGAAATCGGACACTTGGACCATGGACGTTAGATAACAGCAGAAAAATCGCTACGTGCTAAAGCATAGCCCACCTGTCCCTGAAAATTTGTAGAATTTATAACCGTGAACCGTCGGTAAGTACCTAGTATCTGCGAAGTAATTTTTTAATTATTGACAAAAAGAAACATTATAAAATGGTGAAATATTATTAAAAAATTATAATAAATCAATAATAATTAATAATTTATATTTGTAATATTTATAATAATTAAAATTATATAAAACATACATAATTTATAATTTATTTCTTGATAAATAATAACAATTTCGTTTTTTCCTTTTTTTTTCTTTGAATGATATTATAATCATTTCAAACTATGGTTCATAAAAGATAGCTTGATCTCTGCGACAGATGTGAGTAAAAATCACGCCTATGAAGTCCTGAATTTCTTAGTAGTACAGACAGTACCTGTGTCATACTTTATGGGCATGCACTAATTATAGGTCGGCATGCCCATAAAGTATGACATTCACAGGTACTGTCTGTACTACTAAGAAATTCAGGACTTCATAGGCGTGATTTTACTGACAGCTGTCGCAGAAATCAAGCTATCTTTTATGAACTATAGCGCACAACAGCCCGCTTTTGAGACAACTTAGCGATCGCAGCGCTTCACTTATTTTGTCAATATTTCTGGGACACTATTTTCTACAGCGATCGTTCTCCTGTTTTCTAACCTCCATGTCTTGGACTTTGAACGAGAATACCATAAAAGCTTTATGACTCTTTGTCATTCACAGTTTCAGGCATTCAGGCAAAGTGTATAATATAATCTCGTTTTGATAGTAGGATAGAATTGGGGCTTCTGCGTCACTTGCTCCCGAAGCGAGAGAAATGCTCTCGCTTCGCTCGAGCTACATGTCGCTGAAGGCCCCAATTCCCTGCAGTAGAGGTCCAAATTTTTAGTTTAATTGTCGATCTGACTTTTTTGATCTTTGCTCCATTTCTAATACCGTTTCATTCGGAATCTCAAATACAACTAGTCTCGTTCAATAATATAACAACAAATTATGAAGGCTAATCTTCTTCAACGTTAAAATGCAAGATGGTACAAAAAACCAAGTTACTTTAATAATACTAATCGTTGCTGATCTGAAACTATTTTATTTCTTCTGGAATACAAAGGTAGATTAAATTAAAAGATGAAGTGCTTATTTACATACATTTTATTGAAAATAAAACAATTAATTTGTTTTCAAAACACCATTTCCAAATACATAATTTTTTATTCTTACGAGTAAAGCAGTTATACAACAAAATATCTTTACAATAAAGTTCACAAAGAGTGTTTAAATTGGGAAGTCCTAAGCAACTTATATCTCTGATAGTATTATTTTCATCACAAAGATCTTGGACCTATTAAATTTTTTCACATCCTTTTAAAAAATATATTTTTATCTTTTTAGTATATTCTAAGTCTATGTTTATCTTTCAAATATGTCTTGATAATTCTGTGAAACTCCCTATAATCAACATAGGCCTCACTCCATCGATACCCTCTGTGCTTTTCAATCCAGCAAATTTGTTTTTTCTCTCTAAGAGATAGTGACAAAACGGTAAGATAGTGACAGAACGGGTAAGGAGGTTTAATTAGAAATATTTTGGTGTACTCTAGAGTGGCCATAGCAAATTCTTTTACTATAAATTTATTTTTGCTATTTTTGAATCCTTGAAGATCTACGATTATTGTGTTGCTTTTAAAATTGCGTTTAAAATTAAGCAATAAGCAGCTATCCGATCTGGTATTTCTTGGTCTGTTTCAATTTCAACTCTCACGTTGGGCAAACCCACGGACCTAGAAAAAAGGGCGGACAGAGTCTCGCTAAGAAACAATTGACGCACCAAAATGCGGCCGCGTAACTATGTGTGAATAACAACGCGAGCACGTTTTGGAGTGTAATGACGGGTGATACACTTACTATGGTGTGCATGTGTGCGTACCGGGTTGTTTGTATTAGCGAAGCTGACCTACTATGAGTGCGTCAGTAATTGTTTTAAGAGACGGCGTCCGCCCTTTTTTCTAGGTCCATGGTCGAAACTTTTAAAGTCTTGAACAATCAATTACAAATAATGGTGCTACGTCTCTGAACTCCTTTAAACCCATCAATGGCCCTGACCGAAGCGACGTCCGTGATACGACTGTTGAAATCTCGCATATTGCTTGTATAATAAAGAAAACTTACCTTCTGAAAAACTGACGTTCAGCCCCTCATAAGGATAATATGATAAATTTAAAAAGACTCTTACATCTCGTACGTGACAATGGTCCAACTCTGCCATTGATAATATGGCGTTATGTTTGCGGTTGGTAAGGCAATGACAACAAATCGTGGTTGCTCTATTTGCGATGATTTTTTATAGACCAAGTATGTTTACGTGTGTGCAATGGATACTCATATAAGTCCTAGGAACGGAATGCTAATGGAATAGCTCTATCTTTCTATAAATGTTTTAATAGGTTGATTCTTTCACGATCTGATAGTTTGATGTGTGGAACTCGTCAAACAATTTTATTTATTATAATATCATCTACTACAACTTCACCTGTATTTAACTTGATCGCATTAAGATTGTATTGGTTCGTAATAATACTTACTCGTGTTTACATTTAATTATAATTTTTTCATATACTTCTGCAAATCCTAATATCTTGTTCAATAAAAACGCTACACCACTAGTATTGCTTGTTCCGTTTGTTGACCAGCCCCAAACTCGTGCACACTTGGATTCATTTTTATTTAAGTATAAATAAGATTTTATTGTAGTAGTGATACTCGCATTCTTAATTTTATTACTTTACTCCATTAAGTTCCTATCATGTCTTAAAAAGAAATAACGTTGGATTATTATTAATGAAATGTACGTTTGATACCTCTTCTTTCGTGGTGTTGTTATAAACGTTCACTTTCCCCTCGACATATAAACTACTGAATGAAGGCAGCACGTACAGGTCTTGCTGATTAATATGAATACGTATTTCGTCATTCTTGTTAAAACTAGTTACGTATGGTTTGTATGAATGATACTCAAAACTTTCAATGTTGTTATCGTATTATGTTCGTTGAGATCAATGATTTCAAAAGGAAGGATAGGCCCATCTAAATATTTTACTCATAACTTTTTCATACAAGAAATAGTAGTGCATCTGTCATAATACAAAC